ACCTCAGGTTACATATGCTTCAGGTTACATACGCTTCAGGTTACAGACTCCGGTAACCCAGAAATAGTGCTTCAGGTTAAGAACTTTGCTTCAGGATGAGAACAGAAATTGTGCTCTGGCGGTGCGGCGGCAGCAGGAGGCCCCATTAGCTAAAGTGGTGCTTCAGGTTAAGAACAGTTTCAGGTTAAGAACGGACTTCCGGAACGAATTAAGTACTTAACCCGAGGTACCACTGTAGATAGATAATTTATTACAGTCAGCTCACAAACTTATAACAACTTTCTTCTCACTGCTGATAAAATTGCAGAGCTGCAAGGTCATTTATCTAGTAAGTGGCTTGCATGGGATGTTACTCCTACTCAGAGTAAACCTATTGGGAATTCTGGGCACGGTTCACCGGAATCTACGTATTTGGTGTTTTTTTTAGTGGGTCTCTCCCACCAAGCAGAAGTCCAATTTGGCTGCAACTCACAAGGTTTGTGTTTCACATAGTGAGCTGAAACATTGAAAGGTCCTTAAGATTGAATCAGATCCTTAAGATTGAATCAGATCCCTAAGATTGACTCTGAATCGCTGCCTCTCAGCCTAACCTACCTCACAGGTAGGGCCGGATGTAGGTTTGATGAGGCCATAAGCTACTGAAGGTAATGGGGCCCTTTCTATGTCCAGCTGTCCTTTGTCAACAACAAATTGCAGCTGTTTTTGTGTTGAATATATGCTAGATGGTCATTGATGGACCTCATAGGTAAAGGTAAAGGGACCCCTGACCATTAGGTCCAGTCGTGACCGACTCTGGGGTTGCGGCGCTCATCTTGCTTTATTGGCCGAGGGAGCTGGCATCCAGCTTCCGGGTCATGTGGCCAGCAGGACTAAGCCGCTTCTGGCAAACCAGAACAGCGCACGGAAACGCCGTCTACCTTCCCCCCAGAGCGGTACCTATTTATCTACTTGTGCTGGTGTGCTTTCGAACTGCTAGGTTGGCAGGAGCAGGGACCGAGCAACGGGAGCTCCCCCCATCGCGAGGATTCGAACCGCCGACCTTCTGATCGGCAAGTCCTAGGCTCTGTGGTTTAACCCACAGCGCCACCCGCGTCCCTGGACCTCATAGGTATCTCGAGCCATTTGCACATGTGGCCATGCAACCAGTCCATGCAGAATGTAGGCACCCTATATATAGAAAGGAGCAAACCAGGGATATTTTAGGGAGCAGGCTAGCAGGCGGGGCCCATGACTTACATCCTAAGAACCTACACAACACAAAACACTGTTGCAGAAATGGCAAAACGTACCGGGAAAATAAGAAATCCAAGACAACAAACTTTCTATAAAAGAATGGAAATGGTTTATTGAATATTTACAAAATAAACTGTAAACAGATAAGAACATTGGTAGGATTACTGTAATAAGCTGCAGTTTCATAAGTGTATATATTTAAAGCAGATGAACAAATGAGTAAATTAAGTTAATTTGGAATATGCAGAAGATATAAAAATAAATTTAAGGAGGGGAAGGAAGTCGAGTTTTGAAATGATAAAATGATTGCATAATTATTGAAATGTATAAAACGGAAAATCATCAATAAAATAATAAGTTAAAAAATATAAATATTAAAATAAACTTCCCTATGCAGGAAGACGGATCAGGGGTCAGATAACTCCATACCCGCCAACGTTTCTCCAATGAAAATAGGGATGTCCTAAGAAAAAGTGGACGCGGGTGGCTCTGTGGGTTAAACCACTGAGCCTAGGGCTTGCCGATCAGAAAGTCGGCGGTTCGAATCCCCGCGACGGGGTGAGCTCCTGTTGTCCGGTCCCTGCTCCTGCCCACCTAGCAGTTCGAAAGCACGTCAAAGTGCAAGTAGATCAATAGGTACCGCTCCGGCGGGAAGGTAAACGGCGTTTCCGTGCGCTGCTCTGGTTCGCCAGAAGCGGCTTAGTCATGCTGGCCACATGACCTGGAAGCTGTATGCCGGCTCCCTCGGCCAGTAAAGCGAGATGAGCACCGCAACCCCAGAGTCGGCCACAACTGGACCTAACGGTCAGGGGTCTCTTTACCTTTACCTTTAAGAAAAAGTGGGACATCCCAGGATCGAAACTGGGACGGCTTCTCTAAATCAGGGACGTCCCTGGAAAATAGGGACACTGCGAGGGTCTGCAATAAATAAATGCAACAGTTATACAGCAAGGATTAGTGAGCTTCCCTTACAGGACAAACCATTCTATCTCTTGCAAAATAAGGGAGCTGGGCATGTTTAGCCTGGAGAAGAGGAGGTTAAGGGGTGATATGATAGCCATGTTCAAATATATAAAAGGATGTCACATAGAGGAGGGAGAAAGGTTGTTTTCTGCTGCTCCAGAGAAGCGGACACGGAGCAATGGATCCAAACTACAAGAAAGAAGATTCCACCTAAACATTAGGAAGAACTTCCTGACAGTAAGAGCTGTTCGACAGTGGAATTTGCTGCCAAGGAGTGTGGTGGAGTCTCCTTCTTTGGAGGTCTTTAAGTAGAGGCTTGACAACCATATGTCAGGAGTGCTCTGATGGTGTTTCCTGCTTGGCAGGGGGTTGGACTCGATGGCCCTTGTGGTCTCTTCCAACTCTATGATTCTATGATTCTATGAAAATAAGAAAGTTCAGCAAACCAGACTTGGGTTTGTTTGCCCTGGGAAAACAGGTAGGAAGCCCAGCCCATCTTGAGCTAAAAAGAATTGCTTCCTTGCTGCAGAAAGCAAACGTTCTGCACAAAAATAGGGTTTGCTGCTGGGTGCTTCAGCAGCAGAACAAACTGCAAACAGATCTGGGCAGCTGCCTTGCTTTTCTTCGGCACCCATTAAATCTGATTCGGATATTTACCGTATTTTTTGCTCTATAAGACTCACTTTTCCCTCCTAAAAGTAAGGGGAAATGTGTGTGCATCTTATGGAGCGAATGCAGGCTGCGCAGCTATCCCAGAAGCCAGATCAGCAAGAGGGATCGCTGCTTTCGCTGCACAGCGATCCCTCTTGCTGTTCTGGCTTCTGAGATTCAGAATATTTTTTTTCTTGTTTTCCTCCTCCAAAAACTAGGTGCGTCTTGTGGTCTGGTGCGTCTTATAGAGCGAAAAATACGGTAATTTCTGCAGCCGGTGGTGGGCCAGAGGACCAACACAAAGCGCTTGAACCCCTCTCCCCTAGCGCCATTTTGGGAAGAACAGGAAACTGGGAAATTTGAGTCGCATCCAAAGGTCATCTAGGCCAACCCCTGCAATGCAGGAATCTTTTTTGCCCGACCTGGGGCTCAAACTCACCACCTTGAGATTATAATAATAATAATAATTTATTATTTATACCCCGCCCATCTGGCTGAGTTTCCCCAGCCACTCTGGGCGGCTTCCAACAAAACACTAAAATACAATAACCTATTAAACATTAAAAGCTTCCCTAAACAGGGCTGCCTTCAGATGTCTTCTAAATGTCTGGTAGTTGTTTATCTCTTTGACATCTGGTGGGAGGGCATTCCACAGGGCGGGCGCCACTACCGAGAAGCGAAAAAAAATCTCAAGACTCGCAAGACATTATCGTCTTGCGAAGCAAGCCCATAGGGAAATTCGTCCTGCGAAGCGCATCGAAAAACGGAAAACCCTTTCGTCTAGCAGGTTTTCCGTCTTGCGAGGCATTCGTCTTGCGGGGCACCACTGTAATTCGTTCCGGAGGTCCGTTCTTAACCTAAAACTGTTCTTAACCTGAAGCACCACGTTAGCTACTGGGGTCTCCTGCTGGGGTCTCATCCTGAGGTAAAGTTCTTAACCTGAGGTAGTATTTCTGGGTTAGCTGAGTCTGTAACCTGAAGCATCTGTAACCCGAGGTACCACTGTATTTTTTTTCAAAATATAGTCCAGCCCCCCACAAGGTCTGAGGGACGGTGGACTGGCCCATGGCTGAAAAAGGTTGCTCTATGATTCTATGAGTCTATGGGATGCGGGTGGCGCTGTGGGTTAAACCACAGAGCCTAGGACTTTCTGATCAGAAGGTCGGTGGTTCAAATCCCGCAACGATGGGGTGAGCTCCCGTTGCTCGGTCCCTGTTCCTGCCAACCTAGCATTTCAAAAGCACACCAAGTGCAAGTAGATCAATAGGTACCGCTCCAGTGGGAAGGTAAACGGCGTTTCCGTGCGCTGCTCTAGTTCGCCAGAAGCGGCTTAGTCATGCTGGCCACATGACCCGGAAGCTGTACGCCGGCTCCCTCAGCCAATAAAGCGAGATGAGCGCCGCAACCCCAGAGTCGGTCACAACTGGACCTAACGGTCAGGGGTCCCTTTACCTTTATGATTCTATTCTCTTCAATTATGTTCTGAAAACTGGCCTACAAGCCAGAGGTTATCAGCCCTGGCCTGTAGTTCTGGCGAACTCACGGAATCTATTGCCTTTTCCTGTTGTATTTTTAATGTTGTGAACCGCCCAAGTGATCTTCAAAGGCACTCTGCCCATGCTCAAAGGCACACTGTCCGTTTCAGCGGCTCCGCCTTGCTGGACTGGAAAGGCGCTCTGCACATGCCTCAAAGCACTTTGCACCCACGTCGATGATTCGTTGGCTTGCCCTTGCGGGAAGCATGGAAAGGCACTCTGCACATGCCCCAAAGCACTTTGCACCCACGTCGATGATTCAGCGGCTTTATGGAAAGGCGCTCTGCACATGCCCCAAAGCACGTTGCGCTTAAATTGATGATTCCTTGGCTTTTCCCTTGCGGGAATCATAGAAAGGCACTCTGCACATGCCCCAACGCGCTTTGCGCCGATGATTCTGCAGCTTTATGGAAAGGCACTCTGCACATGCCCCAAAGCACATTGCTCTCCCATTGATGATTCGACGGCTGCCCCTTGCGGGAAGCATGGAAAGGCACTCTGCACATGCTCGGAGCCACGGCAACCGAGAGAGAGGCAAGGAGAAGATCGGGCTCCGGAGGGAGGGCTGAGTCCCAGCAGCCCGGCCCCTTGGCTTCCCGCCCGCCCCTGGGCAGACCCGGCTCCGCCTTCTGGCTTCCTCCCGACTCCTTAACTCCCAGGGTTGCGGCCAGCGGACGCGGATCTTCCGCGGGTCTTTCTCCGGCGATGTAAGAAGTGTTGCTTGCGCCGCCTGCGCCGGAGCGCATCCCCCGCGGCCGCGGAACGATGGAGCGCGCAACGAGGCTTTTCCTGGCGCTGGATGTCCTATGCCTCGTGGTTGGTAAGGAAAACTCGCCCCCCCCCCAAAATAACCACACTACTAGCCCCCACTTCGCTGTCCCCTGTTTTGTCTGTGTTTGAACCTCCTCCCCAAATTTATCCGTCCCTTTACGCGCCTGGAAATGGGGAAAGGGGGCATCTCCTTGGGACCCCCCCCCACTCAAAGCTGCCCATCTAAGACTAAGCAGCCTGGCCCAAGTCGCCTCCATCTCCCCCCCCCCAAAAAAAAAATTCACCAACGAGGAAACGGGTGCGCGCGCCCCATTTTCGCCCAGCTAAACTAACCAGGACACCCGCAAAAATTGTGAATAACAGGCGTGGCTTTTGCAAATTCCTCCCCCCCCCCCGCAAAAAAACCCCACACTTTATGGGGAGGTCTTCTAGGGATCGCTCCTAAGTCCGCTCTCCTCCAACTGCTTTTGCTGAACGGCCCCCGCCCCGAAAAAAAATCTGGGATATTTGCCTAACTTGAGACACTCTGGGTTTTAAATGGGGAGGGGGGCTCTGAGTTAACTTCCTTTTCCCAGGACCCCCACCCTATAGAAACACATGTGGGTAGTCTGCTACTCTAGTTAAGCATGTCTGTGCCTCTAAAAAAATAATTAACCCCCCAATTCAGATCCCCAGCAAGGAATGATGAAATCCATTATACAGTCAACTTCTTGGCTTTGGGGGGGTGCACACGCCCCATATTTTCCTAATTTGGTCTCCTTTTGTTGCAAGTTCTAAGTCATCTTCTCATTTGCTACCGCAAAGGGGGGGTGTGTGGAATGGCCCTGAGGTTTTATTGACACCATCTGGGGGTGGAGAAGGGGGTGAAGGACCACTCCCTGCCCCCCTCCCAGTGCAAAGAAACGTTGGCTTGGTTTGCATGCCAGCTCATCTGAATTCCTCCTTTGATTCCTCTGTGACGGATTGCCGCCGCCCCCATAAAACCCACGACGGCGGGAAGCTTCGAACCCAGCGCCGCTGTAGAAATCAGCCTAGACTGCATGACTCCACAATTCTGCGATTCTGAGGTTTTGATCTGTCTCTTGTTTCAAGAAATGCCCTTCCCGCTGTCTGTCGAATGCCTAGGGTCTTAATTCTGCGATTTGTAACGACAACCCTAAAAGGCGAACCAGGGAGCCGTTTTCTATTGCTACCGTTTTTTTGTGGGGGTGGGTGCTGAGGCTGATGATGGAATGGGTGGCTGGAAGGAGATCTGGATTCAAATCGGTTTGACCCACGGCTGTTCCGTTCTTTGCACAGAATTATAATATCCTTCCTGCCGACTGAATGGTCCTTGGGGCAGGTTATGATAAAGGTAAAGGTAAAGGGACCCCTGACCATTAGGTCCAGTCGTGGCCGACTCTGGGGTTGCGGCGCTCATCTCGCTTTATTGGCCGAGGGAGCCGGCGTACAGCTTCCAGGTCATGTGGCCAGCAGGACTAAGCTGCTTCTGGCGAACCAGAGCAGCGCACGGAAACGCCGTTTACCTTCCCGCTGGAGCGGTACCTATTTATCTACTTGCACTTTGATGTGCTTTCGAACTGCTAGGTTGGCAGGAGCAGGGACCGAGCAACGGGAGCTCACCCCGTCACTGCGGGGATTCGAACCGCCGACCTTCTGATCGGCAAGTCCTAGGCTCTGTGGTTTAACCCACAGCGCCACCCGCATCCCTTCAGGTTATGATAGTTTGCAGTAAAACTCACATACATAAGACCCCAGAACCACTCGGTCCAGCAGCCTTTAGCTCCCCTGGCCAGTGGTGTGGTGCAGTCTTGGTGCAAGTGGGAAGAGATTAACGCAAGATTCTAGTCCTCATCGTTTCCAAACAGAGGTCTGGTTTGCATCAGAACCTGCCTTCTGTCAAGTCAGGCCGTTGTTCAATCTAGCCTGGCGTTTCCAACCCAGACTGGCAGCAGCACACCAGGGTTTTTCATGCAATCATAAAAAAACTATAGAGTCGGAAAGGGACCCTGCGGGTCATCTAGCCCAACCCCAGAAACTTTTTTCTCCACATGGGGCGCGCACCCACCCCCGAGCAAATCGTGCTCTGCCCACAGAGCTGGTCTTGCTAGCTAGGGACAAGGGGAGTTGTGATCCAGCAGCAGTTTGGGAGGTGTTGCATTAAAAGGGAAAGCAAGGTTTTAGTCCTCATGTTGGCTGATTTAAAGAGGAACTTGGTAAACGCCCTCTTATTGAGACAGGCACTGACCGGCAGCATGCACAGATCTTTGTGCATGGAGTGTGCTGCTTGCTTTCTGGAGCTGGCTTTCCCCCAGGGCCTTGCAGCGGGTTGGGATGGATGACCGCATGGTGTCCCTTTACGATTCTAGCACAGAGCAGTGGGTGAAGGCGAAGAGGTGGGGAACGTGAGCCCGGCCTGGCCAGCAACATTGCATTCTGCTCCCTGCCCTCTGGCCAGGAAGGGGGTCAGGTCTGTCTTCACTTTGAGATTCCTGGAGGTGACTTTTTGGCTGCCGGCGGTGGCCAAACCGCCCTGCCCTTCGCTTCCATATTTGCCTGTCAAGGTTCATTACCAGACCTTTAAACCGATGTTGAACGAGAGCCGTGGAGCAAATGAGAAGCCCAGAACGAGCTCTGCTGGATCAATCGTTGGACTGGTCATGTTGTGTGGATGCCTGACTAATAATAATAATTTATTATTATACCCCGCCCATCTGGCTGGGCTTCCCAGCCACTCTGGGCGGCTTCCCATAAAATATTAAAATACAGGACAGCCTCAAACATTAAAAGCTTCCCTGAACAGGGCTGCCTTCAGATGTCTTCTAAAAGTCTGGTAGTAGTTGTTCTCTTTGACATCTGGTGGGAGGGCGTTCCACAGGGCAGGTGCCACCACAGAGAAGGCCCTCTGCCTGGTTCCCTGTAGCTTTGCTTCTCACAGTGAGGGAACCACCAGAAGGCCCTCAGCGCTGGACCTCAGTGTCCGGGCTGAACGATGGGGGTGGAGACGCTCCTTCAGGTATACTGGGCCGAGGCCGTTTAGGGCTTTAAAGGTCAGCACCAACACTTTGAATTGTGCTTGAAAACATACTTACCGTACTTACCATCTTCCAAAGCAGCTACTCTATTCCGAACTTAAAAATGGAAAGCACAGTGCTGGCGGTCAACAAAAGAGGTTCAAAGACTCTCAAGGCAAATGTAAAAAAAATGTAGTACAGTGGACACTCGGGTTGCGAACGTGATCCGTGCGGGAGGCACATTCGCAACCCGCAGTGTTCACAACCCGCAGCGCCGCGTCTGCGCATGCACAGGTTGCGATTTGGTGCTTCTGCGCATGCGCAAAGCGCGATCGCCGAAAGCCGGAAGTAAACCATTCCGGTACTTCCTGGTTTCGGTGCGTCCGTAACCTGAAAGGTAAAGGAACCCCTGACCATTAGGTCCAGTCGTGACCAACTCTAGGGCTGCGGTGCTCATCTCGCTTTATTGGCCAAGGGAGCCGTCGTACAGATTCCGGGTCATGTGGCCAGCATGACTAAGCCACTTCTGGCGAACCAGAGCAGCGTACGGAAACGCCGTTTACCTTCCTGCTGGAGCGGTACCTATTTATGTACTTGAACCTTGCTGTGCTTTTGAACTGCTAGGTGGGCAGGGGCAGGGACCGAGCAATGGGAGCTCACCCCGTCGCAGGGATTCGAACTGCCAATCTTCTGATCGGCAAGTCCTAGGGCTCTGTGGTTTAAATCACAGCGCCACCCGTGTCCCTGTAACCCAAGGTATGACTGTATAAACACCGAGAACTGGGAAACACTGGCCTGCGAGCGCTCCAGTTGGAGAACAGCCTTTACCAAAGGTGTCGTGGGCTTTGAAGACACTCGAACTCAGGATGCAAGGGAGAAACATGCTAAGAGGAAGGCACGCTTGGCAAATCCACACCGTGATCAACTCCTGCCCGGAAACCAATGTCCCCACTGTGGAAGGACGTGTGGATCCAGAATTGGCCTCCACAGTCACTTACAGACCCACTGTTAAAACCATGTTTATGGAAGACAATCTTACTCGGCTACAAGTGATCGCCAAAGGGGAAGAAGAATCGTTTTTGAGTTGGACGGGACCCTGGGGGTCATCCAGTCCAAGCCCTTGCGATACAGGAATCTCGGCTAAAGCATCCACAACAGATGGCCCTCCAAGCTCTGCTGGAAAACCTCCAAGGAAGGAGAGTTTCACAGCACCCAACATGATGCCTTTAGGAAACCCGCAATCAGGATTTGAACACAACTCTCCCTTCCCGGAATTTCCAGCGGGTGGCGTTCAGAAGCATTGCTGTCTCTGACCCTGGAGGCAGACCATAGTCACCCTGGCTAGTCGCCATCGATAGCCCTCTCCTACCCACTGTTTGTCCAATCCTATTTTGAAGCCAGGCCATTGTTGTCTCCAGTGGCGGTGAGTTCCGTAGTTGAACTATGCGACGTCTCCCATTCCCAGCAAGGCTCATGAATTTGAACCCCAGGACTGAAGCGAATTGACTCTGATTGTTCGTCTGGGACTCCAGATTTTGCAGGTGAATCATTCTGAAGGAAATCAGTCCTGAGCGCTCACTGGAAGGACAGATCCTGAAGCTGAGGCGCCAATACTTTGGTCACCCCATGAGAAGAGAAGACTCCCTGGAAAAGACCCTGATGTTGGGAAAGATGGAGGGCACAAGGTGAAGGGGACGACAGAGGACGAGATGGTGGGACAGTGTTCTCGAAGCTGCCAGCATGAGTTTGACCCAACTGTGGGAGGCAGTGGAAGACAGGAGTGCCTGGCGTGCTCTGGTTCAGGGGGTCACAAAGAGGCGGACACGACTAAATGACTAAACAACAAATCAGAAGGAACTGTCAATGTGCGTTATTCCGGATATACAGATAAACTGGTTCTTAGGGGAGAGAGAGAGAGACTTGCCCAAAGCCATTCAGTAGCAGGATTCGAATGTAGGGCTCCTCCCCCTCCATTAGAATACAGTGGTACCTCTAGATGCGAACGGGATCCGTTCTGGAGCCCTGTTCGCATCTAGAAGCAAACTTAACTAGCGACGGCACGTCTGCACATGCGCACGTCGCTTTTTGCCGCTTCTGCGCATGCGCGCGACGTCATTTTGAGCGTCTGCGCATGCGCAAGCGGCGAAACCCAGAAGTAACGCGCTCCGTTACTTCCGGGTTGCCGCGGAGCGCAACTCGAATGCGCTCGTCCCGAAGCACATTCAACCCGAAGTATGACTGTAATAAAATCCTAGAATTATAAAGTTGGAAAGGTACCCTGAGAGTCTGTAATCCAACCCCCTGCAAGGCAGGAATCTTTTGCCCAACGTGGGACTCGAACTCACGACCCATGATGAAGAGTCTCAAATTAATCTGGAACAGTTGTTGTTATTATTATTATTATTATTATTATTATTATTATTATTATTATTATTTTAAATGCACGTTATACTATAGAATACAGAGGGAGATGAGGAGCGATTTTTTTTAAATAATATTTTTTATTGATTTTAACATACAAATTATAATACATACCACAAAAGCTCATCACTTATGTAATCTTTTTCTTTTTTCTTTTTTGGGACTTCCATCAGCACCTCTGATGATCCACCGTTTTGACCACCTCTTATGCATTTCTTAAATTCATATTGCCTTTAATTATATTAACTAACCACCCTCCCCCTTATCCATTTTTGCAAGAATTCCAATAATACTCCTCACAAAACTTCTTGCAAACCTACAAACGAGGAGCGATCCTAGTGGCAGGGAGTTCCCCTGCCTCGCCTCCCCCTGCTATTCTGCAGACCTCTTTTTTTTTCCTTTTCCTTTTGGTTACAACAAGGCCCCTCCCTCTTCACCCAAGCGTTCAGAAATTGCTCCCTTATTTTCCCCCAAAGGCCCTGTTTTGCTATCCAAATGACAGGCCCTCAACCACTTCGGTTTGCCATGAGAAGGAAATGATGATAGGGACCGGCTGCAGCGGGAGAGAGAGACGACCTTCGGCCCTGTGGGAAGACGACAATCAGCCCCTGAGTACTTTTGCCCTCGGGGGGAAAATCTGTGCTTGTTTATTGCCATTTTTAAAAAATAAAGTGCAAACCCAAAGGCTCCTTCTCGAAAGGTGGCGGTTATCAAATGTCAACATTAAGATGTTTGGCTGCAGAAATCACCCAAATATTGCTTATTCCCCCAAAAATTGTGTGTCGTGTGGAAACTTGGCACACCGAGAAACCAAGTTATTCTATCCTTTCATCCAACCCACTGAGAGATTTGTGTTCCTTAACTTTTTGGGGAGTCAAGCCTGTATTTTATTAAAGATATTTGGGAGGAAAAGGAAGGCAAAGCAGATTAGCTAAGCAGGAACCATGCAGTTAAATACATATCCCTATGAAACGTAACTGCATACCAGGGAATGCTGAGAAGAGTGACTGGTGACTGGATCAGGCCCAATGGTCTGTCTAGTCTTGCGGTCGACAACCAGTGGGATGCCGGCTTAGCAGGATCTGAGTGTGAGAGAGCCAACTGTGTTTTGCAGGAACTTGCATTCAGATACATCGCGGTGACCTGCTAGGAAAGCTGTCATGGTCAGTAGCCTTCTCCTTCTCCTCAAATATGCCCAATCCTCTATCGAAAACCATCTAAATTCGCAGCTGCTTCCTGTGGCAGGCAGTTCCGAGGTTCAACTACACCCTGCATGAAAAAGTCCTGTCTTTTTATCTTGCTGAATCTCTCAGCATTCCGCTTTGCTGGATTTCTGCAAGTCGTGAGTTCTTCTCTCTCTGTGCCGTTTATCATTTAATACACTTCTATCCTGTTGATCTTCACCTTTTCCTCTAAACTAAAAAGTCCTTGCAGGGGGAGCTGCATTTTCCCTAGTTTAGGGAAGCTTTCAATGTTTGATGCATTACTGTATTTTAATATTTTGTTGGAAGCCGCCCAGAGTGGCTGGGGAAGCCCAGCCAGATAGATGGGATATAAATTGTTGTTGTTGAGTCGTTTAGTCGTGTCCGACTCTTTGTGACCCCCTGGACCAGAGCACGCCAGGCCCTCCTGTCTTCCACTGCCTCCCACAGTTTGGTCAAACTCATGCTGGTCACTTCGAGAACACTGTCCCACCATCTCATCCTCTGTCGTCCCCTTCTCCTTGTGCCCTCCATCTTTCCCAACATCAGGGTCTTTTCCAGGGAGTCTTCTCTTCTCCTGAGGTGGCCAAAGTCTTGGAGCCTCAGCTTCAGGACCTGTCCTTCCAGTGAGCACTCAGGGCTGGTTTCCTTCAGAATGGAGAGGTTGGATCTTCTTGCAGTCCATGGGACTCTCAAGAGTCTCCTCCAGCACCAGAATTCAAAAGCATCCATTCTTCGGCGATCAGCCTTCTTTATGGTCCAGCTCTCACTTCCATACATCACTACTGGGAAAACCATAGCTTGAACTAGACGGACCTTTGTTGGCAAGGTGATGTCTCTGCATTTTAAGATGCTGTCATTGCTTTTCTCCCAAGAAGCAGGCGTCTTTTAATTCCATGACTGCTGTCACCATCTGCAGTGATCATGGAGCCCAAGAAAGTGAAATCTCTCACTGCCTCCATTTCTCCCCCTTCTATTTGCCAGGAGGTGACCAGGGTTAGATTCCTCCATATAGTTTTTGCGTGGGTGGCTGTCTAAGGAAGCATATCTCTACCTCCATCATCTAGCCCAGACACTGAGGTCCAGTTCCGAGAGCCTTCTGGCAGTTCCCTCCCTGTGAGAAGTGAGGTTACAGGGAACCAGGCAGAGGGCCTTCTCGGTGGTGGCGCCCGCCTTGTAGAACGCCCTCCCATCAGATGTCAAAGAGATAAACAACTACCTGACATTTAGAAGACATCTGACGGCAGCCCTGTTTAGGGAAGTTTTAAATGTTTGATGTTAAACATTTCCCACCGGAGCTGTACCTATTTATCTACTTGCACTTTGACGTGCTTTCGAACTGCTAGGTTGTCGTGACGAAGATGCAAAAGGGGAATCATCCTAAAAGCCTCCGCAACCCAAATCTTTGGGAAGACGGGAAGAGGCAAATGCCACGAACAGGGAACAGGAACGAGCCGATCACTTTAAGGAAGTATTTTTAATTGCCGGCTAAAAGATACTCCAGATTCTGCCGGCAAAGGGTTCGATTTTTTTTAAGTGTGAACACCCGTAAAGGTTGGAGACGCATGCTTACAATCTTTGAAGATGTCTGCCCCTTCACCTAAGCCTCTGCAAAATATGCTGTAAATGTGAGAAAGGATAGACAGATAGATAAAAACGTTGCACATTTGATGATTTAACAAAATCTGTATGGTTCTCTAAGGCAGGGGACCCAACCCTATATCACAGAGGGACAACTTTGACGCGAACATGCGTGAGGGCCAACCATAGACGTTGTTGAGCTTTTTTATGGATTTTCCCCCAGGACAAGTGGGACGCGGGTAGCGCTGTGGGTTAAACCACAGAGCCTAGGACTTGCCAATCGGATGGTCGACGGTTCGAATCCCCGCGACGGGGTGAGCTCCCATTGCTCGGTCCCTGCTCCTGCCAACCTAGCAGTTCAAAAGCACCTCAAAGTGCAAGTAGATAAATAGGTACCGCTCCAGCGGGAAGGTAAAAGGCATTTCTGTGCGCTGCTCTGGTTCGCCAGAAGCGGCTTAGTCCTGCTGGCCACATGACCTGGAAGCTGTACGCCGGCTCCCTTGGCCAATAAAGCGAGATGAGCGCCGCAACCCCAGAGTCGGTCACGAATGGACCTAATGGTCAGGGGTCCCTTTACCTTTACCCCAGGACATATACTGCCACAGGGGCCAGATTAAATCGACCGGCGGGACGGATTAGGCCCCCGAAACGGACTTTGGACATGCCTGCTCTATGGTGAGGGAGCAACTATCCAATGAGGAAAGGCTACTGAATTGGGGGCATAGCTGTCAACTGTTCCCTTTTTTAAAGGGAAATTCCCTTATTCCGAATAGGATTAAGAAAAGGGGAAAGTTGACAGCTATGATTGGGGGTGCTTTTTCGTTTAGAGAAAAGTCGAGCGAGAGGCAACGTGATAGAAGGCTGCAAAATTACCGTATTTTTCCATCTATAAGACGCACCAGACCACAAGACACACCTAGTTTTTGGAGGAGTGAAACAAGGGAAAAAATATTTTGAATCTCAGAAGCCAGAACAGCAAGAGGGATTGCTGCGCAGTGAAAGCAGCAATCCCTCTTGCTGTTCTGGCTTCTGGGATAGCTGCGCAGCCTGCATTCACCCCATAAGACGCACACACCGTTCCCCTTACTTTTGAGGGAAAAAGTAGTCTTATAGAGCAAAAAATACGGTATACGCATCAACGGAGGAAGGGTTTTCCTGCATCTCGTGAGCACCCAGAGAAGCCGAATGTCGGGCGGTTCGGGACAGATAAACTTCTTTCTGACGCGGATAGTTTGAACAGTGGAACTCCCTGCTGCAGGAGGCCCGCCAACTTCAAAAGAGGATTAGACCAATTCGCTGTGCTCTGCCTCCACCGATGAAGACGTTTCTGAATACCGGTTGCGGGAAACTGCAGGGAGGGAGAGCAGTGGCGTAGCGCGGTTTGCTGTGTCCCGGGGCACGTAATGGCGCTACATCAGCCCAGGCCTCGCTGCCGAAGCGCCCTCCCTCGCACTGTGAGCTCGGCCGGCCAGTGCAGCCCTCAGATCATCTCTCGCAAAGCAGCTGGTGTCTGGCAGGGCGGCGTGAGGAGCCAAATGTGCACACGAAAAATGTGCCCGGGGCCCGGCAACCCGCCCTCCACGCTATGCCCCTAGGGGAGCGTGTGCTTTTGCGCTCGGAACCCACTTGCAGGTTTCTCGCCTGCATTGCGAGAACAGGAGTTTGGGCCAGCTGGGCCTGATCCTGCATGCACTTCCTGAGTTAAGAGGCTGGCTCAGAGTCTCTGGAACGGATTAAAAGATCCGGATTCGAGAGAGAGAGAGAGCTCTGCCCGTCCACCGATCCTTGTTCGCTCTGCACCGGGGTGTGGTTTTCTACCTGAGAAGGCTTGGCGTGGGCTGCCTTTGAAACTCGCTTGCGGCTTTGGCGAGAACTTTGGCTGGGCAGGTACGGAATGCAGAAAATCCACCTGGATTGAGCAACTTTCTCTTCGGCTGTTTTATCTTGAGCCTAGCCCAAGCACTTTTGCTTTTGCACGCACCGCACTCTGAAAGCCATGGGTGGGCAAACTAAGGTCTGCGGGGCTGGATTTTCGTGGCTTACTCGGGGTTTGAACCCGAGTTCTCACAGTCTTTTTTTATATTTATATATATATATAATTTTTATTAAGTTTTCTAAATTTCATTGCATATCAAAAATAAAGAAAATAAAATCCATAACTTTTTTTATTCAAAATTATAACAAGACATATTATCCAAAAACATATCATCCTTGTCCCCCCCCAATTTTTCCTCCTCCCCCCCGCCCACGCAAAACCCATCCACCTCCACCCCCCGACTTCCCTCAGTTCCAGTCTTTGGTTTCTCTAAGAATGCTGTTTTCTGCATGTTACAAAGTTGTATAGATCCTCAAACTATTTAGCTGAATAAAAAGTTTGTGAATGTTTATTCAAAACCTGCCAAGCAGTTCGCTTTGTTGCGTCTTCAGATACTTTGTAAAGGGTTCCCATTCATCCTTAAAGTCACAGTTATCCTTGTCCTGTAGCTTGTATGTCAGTTTTGCCAGTTCTGCATAGTCCGTCAATTTTTCTTGCCATGATTCTTTAGTTGGGGTTTCTTCAGTCTTCCATCCTTGTGCTGCCAGAACTCTCACGGCCGTTGTCACATACATGAAGATGTTTTTCAACTTTTTTGGCAGGTCTTTCCCTACAATCCCCAACAAAAATGCCTCGGGTTTTTAACAAATGTTAAATGGAACATTTTCTTCAATTTGTTGTATATCATTTCCCAAAACTTAAAGCATTGCTTAAATAAAGCATCAACTTCCTTCCCTCCCTCTGACAGACTTCCACACACCATTACCAATTTCTTCGCATACCTATATCCACTTTTTTTACCCTATGTCAGTCTTTTAGCAATCACCTTCTTCTGTGTAAATCAGTTCCTTAAATTCCCAATACCAAACATTTCAATTAAAACCTACGAGCGTTTTCAATTGTTTACAATTTTCTTTCATATAAAGTAAAAATTTTGGAACTGTTCCAAAAAAGTACTTAAATACCATTTTCAATTCATTATATATAATATCCCAGAAGGCTTTGATCTTAGAGCAAGTCCACCACATATGCATAAAATTCCCCTCCTTCTCCTTACATTTCCAGCAGGCTTTATCCTGGTTCTAGTTCTCCCAGTCTCAATCCCAGCAGTGTTTCGACCAACCTTCATGAGATCAGTTCTCTTTGAGGCTGTCTTTGCTTTGATTATATTTACCTGGTTTGGTTATTATATCCAACAGAGGTCACCGAAGGAGACCACCTCCACGCCCATTTTACAGGTGGGGAAAGTTGAGGCCAACCTGCTGGCCTTGGAGACAGGGGCGAATTGTGAGGCTATGCTCTTTCGGACGGCGGCATCACGGGGAGGAAAGTTTGCCCGGGCCGGATTACTGCAATGCGCTCTTTGTGGGGCTGCCCTTGAAGACGACTCCGAAACTCAATTTGGGTACCAAATGCAGCGGCTGGTTCCATTCAGACCCCTTTGGGTGCTGAGATTGGCAGAGTGAGGCCCTCTTGGTAGTTCCTCCACCCTCAGATGCTCAGGGGGTGGCCGGGTGTGTGTGCACGAGGGTCTTATCGGTGGCAGCCCCTAATCTGTGGTTCTTCCTCCCCGCAGAGGTGCATCAAGGCACCTTCATTTTTGAGCTTTCGAGGAAAGATGGAGACGCACCTTTGACACTTTTTCAGACCCATTTTATTTTTTGGCTGTTAAGTTGCTTTACCAGTGGTGTCCAAACTTTTTCAAAGAGGGCCAGATTTGATGAAGTGGAGGGCCGTGAGGGCCGACGAAAGCTGTTGAGGTTTTTTAGGATTTTACCCCAGAAATAAACTGCCACAGGGCCGAATTAAACTGACCGGCGGGCCAGATTAGACACCCGAAACGGACTTTGGACGTGCCTGCTTTCAACTGCTTTCAACGTGGTGCTTTGATCGCCGTAACCTTCATTGGGGGCGAAGGGTCGATAATAAATAAACAAACAAGCCTTCTTGTACAGGAGTAGTGTATCTCTGAACGTCAGGTGCTGTCATCTAAGAAGACCTCCTTCATGTTCAGCTGGCAAACTTGACCAGAGAATGGTGGAGAATGGCACATTGCGCTGCTATCCAACTCCTCGAAAGATTCCATCAACGGCGTCTCCGGAAATTTTTACACATCACTTGGGAAGACAGGCGAACTAATGCCAGTGTACTGGAAGAAGCAAAGATCACCAGTGTGGAAGCGATGATTCTTCAACATCAACTTTGTTGGACCGGTTATGTTGTGCGGATGCCTGATGATTGTCTTCCAAAGCAACTCCTCTATTCCGAACTTGAAAACGGAAAGCGTAATGCTGGTGGTCAACAAAAGAGGTTTAAAGACTGTCTCAAGGCAAATTTTTAAAAAATGTAGTATAAACACCGGCAACTGGAAAACACTGGCCTGCAAGCGCTCCAGTTGGAGAACAGCCTTTACCAAAGGTGTCATGGACTTTGAAGATGCTCAAACTCAGGACAAATGGGAGAAACGCACTAAGAGGAAGGCTTGCTTGGCAAACCCTCACTGTGATCAACTCCCGCCTGGAAACCAGTGTCCCCACTGTGGAAGGACGTGGGGATCCAGAATTGGCCTCCACAGTCACTTACGGACTCACTGTTAAGACCGTGTTCATGGAAGACAATCTTACTCAGCTACGTGGGATTGCCAAAGAAGAAGAGAACTATCCAGACACACCCGGAAAAGCCAGCTTTTATGCCGTTTCCTCCAAATTAAGAAGCTTTCACTCGCGAAATCAAGCTCCCTCTGTGCTTTTTAAGGAAGCAGAAACGACCTCCCTGCAATTTTAAATTACCACCCGTCCTGTATTTTAAACCTTCAGTCTCCCTCCCCCCGTTTCCCGTTTCCTCCTTCTCCCCCCTCCACCCCCGTTTAACCCATTTATGTCCTATTTTTATATTATACCTCCCCCATCGCACCGTAAAGTCTTCCCCGTGCCGACGTGGTTTTATTTTAGGTGTGTTTGTTTTTAGCTCTCTCGAGACAATCGGATGACCCTCCTTGCTCCGGCGAGAGCAAAGAGGACTTCTCCCAAAATAGTTACCTACTGCCCCATAATCTTTTTATATATATATATAAAGCGCCTCTTAAGAAAAGCACCAAAAGGTTTAATTTGGAGTTTCGGCAGCTCTTCTTAGCCCTAAATCTGGTTTAACCACAGGTGGGCATCGCTGGCGTCAGGGCCCAAGTGGCGATTGGGACTTATTCTTTCCCATTGCATTTTTCCTCTGGGAATAGAACAGTCTAAACGTGCCTCTAAAGTTAGGATTTCCCGTTGCACCTGCTTCCTCCAGCCATATATAGATATATGCTTCCTTAGGCAGCCACTCACGCAAAAACTATATAGGGGAATCTAACCCCAGTCACCTCCTGGCAAATAGAAGGGGAAGAAATGGAGGCAGTGAGAGATTTTACTTTCATGGGCTCCATGATCACGGCAGAAGGTGAAAGCACCCACGAAATTAAAACAAGACTTCTTCTAGGGAGAATAGCAATGACAAACCTAGACAGCATCTTAAAAAGCAGAGACATCACCTTGCCAACAAAGGTGTGTATAGTTAAAGCTATGGTTTTCCCAGTAGTGATGCATGGAAGTGAGAGCTGGACCATCAAGAAGGCTGATCGCCGAAGAATTGATGCTTTTGAATTCTGGTGCTGGAGGAGACTCTTGAGAGTCCCATGGACTGCGAGAAGATCAAACCTCTCCATTCTGAAGGAAATCAGCCCTGAGTGCTCACTGGAATGACAGATCCTGAAGCTGAGGCTCCAAGACTTTGGCCACCTCATGAGAAGAGAAGACTCCCTGGAAAAGACCCTGATGCTGGGAAAGATGGAGGGCACAAGGAGAAGGGGACGACGGAGGACGAGATGGTGGGACAGTGTTCTTGAAGCTACCAGCATGAGTTTGACCAAACTGTGGGAGGCAGTGGAAGACAGGAGGGCCTGGCGTGCTCTGGTCCAGGGGGTCACGAAGAGTCGGACACGACTAAATGACTAAACAACAACAACAACAAAACCTCAGTCAGGTGATCTCTAAACATAAGCTTTTACTTATGTAAAAGTGAGTAAAAGCTTACGTTTAGAGATCACCTGACTGGGGTTAAAGGTAAAGGTAGGACAGACC